TGGGGACCTGCTGTGCAGACGCTTCGGGACCAGATGGCTCCTGGCCTGAGGAGCGCATCCGAAGGGTGGAAATAGGTGAGATGTTTGCATTTCCACCTAAGGAGCCATTCCTTCTGGCTTGAGGAGCAGCTGTGAGGTCCCTGCTCCCCATCTTGTCCCTCATTCAGCCTGGGGAACTCCAAGGGCTTCCGGCCACTGGGACCCTCTGTGCCCATGGGCAGACTGCCTGGAGGAGAAGGTCCCGCAGACCCAGCCCAGACCAGCCCTGCACCACTTCTAAGAATGTGCAGGGGAGCCATTTGGGCCTGATGCCAGACATTGAATCCACAGACCAAAAACGGGCCCCAAATATGTACAGAGTTCAAAAATTACCTTCCCCATCGCACACTGTCAGCTGAATCAAAACTCCTAGTAACTTAGCCTCATGACTGTTCCTTGACTTTGCAGAATCTGTATCAGCTCTGAGTTTCCCAACCGCTCGTCCTGCAAGTGTGTTAAGTTTTGTCATTATGATGATGCTGTGTTGAGGAAAGTGACTCTTGGTATCGACTCAACTTTGTTTCCCCCATTTTAGCCATTTTGGGGGGGATTTTGAATTTATTTGTTTATTTATTTTTAATATTGAATGCCCCTTTTCCATTTCTCCCATCTACAAGCTTGATTTTTTTAGATTTCACATAAAAGAGAAATCATCTGGTATTTGTCTTTCTGTCTGACTTATTTCATGTGGCATGACACCCTTGAGGTCCATCCACGTTGTCAAAAATGGCAAGATTTCATTTTTTTATGGTTTAATAATATTCCATTTACATAATAGCACGTTTCCTTTATCCATTCACCCACCGGTGGACACTTGGGTTGCTTCCCTGTCTTGGCTGTTGTGAATAATGCTGCAGTGAACACGGGGATGCAGATGTCTTCTTGATTTAGTGTTTTCATTTTCTTGAAATAAATACCCAGAAATGGAATTGCTGGATCATATCGTAGCTCTATTTTTCATTTTTTGAAAATAGAAAATGAAATCTATTTTCATTTTCCATAGTGGCTGCACTAATTTACACTCGCATCCTCAGTGCACAAGGATACCCTCCTCTCCACATCTTCGCTAAGGCTTGTTATTTCTTGTCTTTTTAGTAACAGCCATTCTAACAGGTGTGAGGTGACATCTCACTGTGGGTTTGATTTGCATTTCCCTGATGATTAGTGATGTTGAGCATCTTTTCACGTACCTGTTGGCCATCTGTATGTCTTCTCTGGAAAAATGTCTATTCAGATCTTCTGCCCACTTTTAATCACTGTTTGCTTTCAGCTATGGAGTTGCATGAGTTTTCATACATTTTAGATATTAACCCCTTATCAGATATATGATTTGCAAATATTTTTTCCCGTTCAGTAGGTTGCCTTTCCATTTTGTTGATGTTTCCTTTGCTGTGTAGAAGCTTTTTAGTTTGACGTAGTCCCACTGGTTTATTTTTGCTCTTGCTTTTGGAGTCAGATTCAAAACATCATCGCCAAGACCTGTGTAAAGGAGCCTACCATGTATGTTTTCTTCTAAAAGTTTTATGGTTTCAGGTCTTACATTCAAGTCTTTGATCCATTTTGAGTGAATTTTTGTGCATGATGTAACATAGAGTCCAGTTTCATTCTTTTGCATGTGACTGTCCAGTTTTTGCAACACCATTTATTGAAGAGATTCCTTTCCCCATTGTATAGTCCTGGCTCCTTTTTTGTAAATTAATTGACCATGTAGGAGTGGGTTTATTTCTGGGCTCTCTGTTCTGTTCCATTGGTCTATGTGTCTGGTTTTACGCCAGTATCATACTGTTTTGATTACTATAGCTTTGTCATAGAGTTTGAAATCAGGAACGTGATCCCTCCAGCCTTGTTCTTCTTTCTCGAGATTGTTTTGGCTACACAGTGTCCTTTGGGTCTCCATACAAAGTTTCGGACTGTTTGTTCTATTTCTGTGAAGAATGCCATTGGAATTTTGATAGGGATTGCATTGAATCTGCAGATTGCTTTGGGTAGTATGGAGATTTTAACAATATTATTTCTTCCAAACTATGAGCATGTAATATCTTTCCATTTGTGTCTATTTACCTAAATAGATATCCAACTATTTGTGTCTTCTTCGATTTCTTTCATTAATGTCTTGTAGTCTTCAGTGCACAATATATTAGTAATTTTTGAAGGCTAAGATGCTCTCATCAATCGCTGAGCCCCACACCAACCGGGGCCTGGAGTGCAAGGCCCCGCAGAACCGGAGAGCGGTCGGGGAGCGGGACGGCGGAAGAGCGTCCACCTCAGGAGAAGCTGAGCATCACCGGGAGGCACATGTACCTCCAAGTCCATCTCCAGAGGGACTGAAGCCCCCCAAGTGCTCATTCTCTGGAGAATTCACTGTGGCTTGAGTGGTCCGCATCTCAAATACTTCTCTGATTCCTCCCTAAACAGGTAAGTCTTGGGAGAGAATTTGTGGAAACAGCCTGGCTCCTTCTCTCAGCCTGAGACACACAGGCCGCTTCAGCTCAATCTCCAGCAGTTCTCAGTGCTGTCAGTGAAATGCACGCCTCCCCTCTACCACTGCAAAACCCTTTCCGGAAGATGCTCTGGGGAGAGGGGTGACAGCCCCTTGGGAGTTAACCCATGCTTAACAAATTAAATTCTTTTTCCTGCCGCTTAACGTGGTAATGCAAAAAATTAAAATGAGAGTTCCCCCAAATTAGATCCCCCATATGTCCTGGTTAGCCTGGCAGTGTCAGGGGTTACGCTGCCATCTCAGTGTAATTGCTAACAGAACTTCCTTTTACTCCCAAAAGAATCTGGGATGAGCATAACCACCATCGAGTTGTGAGTCAAAGCAACATAAGGACCAGGCTACATCAGCAAAGCTTGCTTTATTTTGGTCATTGGTACAAAGTGGAGATAAATACAAGTTAGATATGAAAAGTCTGTCAATAGAAACCCATATACAGCTAACAAGAGCAATAGTAACAATGCGGGTGGCTTGTCAATGGCCAACATCACCCCTTTTACTCTTTGCCCTCTGAAGGTGGCCAGCCAGTGGAACATCAGACAGCACGGGTCCATGCGGGGGCAGGTGGACCTCCTCTTCAGTCTCATCATCCAGGTTCTCCCTCTACAGCCACCCAGGGAAGAGTAAACAAAGAAATAACCAGGATGGCTGATGCTCACTGAGTGCTGACCACGGGCCGGGTGCTCTCCCAATCACTGCATGAGCACCCACATGATGGATCCTCACGGCACCCTGCCAGGTAGTTACCACCATCATGCTGACTTTCCAGATGTGGAAACTGAGGCAGGAAGAGACTGAGGAACTTGACCAAGGCTTCGTGCCTGGTAAGAGGTGGAGCTGGATTTGAACCAGGCAGCCTGGTTTCAAGGCCGTGCTGCTAGAGTGCCCCTGCCCTCCCTGCCCTGTGTGTCGGGAACGTCCAGGGCCTGCCCTGTTCTGCTCCCCACTGCGGCAGGGCTGGCACAGGCACAGAGCACTTGCCTGCACTGTTGCAACAGTCCCAAAGGCTCCCTGTGCAGACCTCACAGACCTGGACCCTTATGGCATCCTCTGCCAGCAGCCTGGGAACCATACACACCACAGGTCTGACCTTGACACCCGGCTTATACGTGTTTCCTGCTTTTTCACAGCTTCAGAGGAGGGCCCTGGGCCTCTGCCAGGCACACAGGGCACCCCATAGGCTGTTGCAATCTCAGTACCCTCATCACCCACCACGGGCCCCCAGCTGCATCTGCTCTGCCACTTTCCCTCTCTGGAGGCCACCTTCATCCTCACTGCCATGGCCATCTGCTGCTCTCTGTCACCTTCTCTGTGAAGCCTTCTCTGGCACCCATGGCTGCCACCCTTCCTCTGTGATCACAGGTACCGTCCTTTTGTTTGCCTGCTGGGGTGGTGGTGGAAATATGTGGCCCTGCAGCCTGCACACAGCCGGCCGGTCACCACACCCCGGGGCACCCCGGGGCAGCGTGCAGTCATGCTGGCCTCAGCAGGGGGCCTTACTCTCCATTAGCATTTGTTGATTGAGTGAATGAATAAATGAATGCTCCTTCCCTGCCCCCAGGACTCCAGAAATGCCGGGTTTGCATGTTCCCAAAGTTACATGCGTCACACTCATAATGTGGACTGCTTTCTAACAACCATGGAAGACAGCGACACATATGTATCTTATTGAGCTAGCTTAATTTGCTGCAAGATGTATGTACGTGTGGAGGGAGAGGGGGCAGAATCAGGAAACGTTAGAAGGAAAACTCTAAAGTAGAGATGGGAAAGATTCCCAAGGCTCACATGTGAGGCAGGACAACAGGACATACATTTTCAGGGAAGGGAGGGGCCGGGCATTAAACAGAGAGGGGGACAGCAGAAGTAGGGGTCGGGGAGTACTGAACAGCCCTCGGACACCTCCCATTGGGCCCAGGGGCGGCTATCTGCAGAGGGGTCATTTAAGGTTGCCCCCCAGAGTTAAAAAAAAAAGCCCCTATTCTCCTTTCCTCACCCAAATCTGAAGTTCCCTCCCGGAAACATCTGCACCAGCTGGAATGACAAAGAAGCCATCTCCTTCCCCAAGAGGGCTTCTCCCTTAGGACAATGACGAGAATGGGACCAAGGGAAAGGACAGACCCATTTAAGGAGTGTGCACAAAGGCCAAAGGGATTCCTAGGACAAATCTTTCAGATGAGTCCATCTGGGTGGCAGAAACTGGGGACAGAGATTGGGGTCAACTACTGTGTTGCATAAGTGCTGCGCACACTTGGATGATGGCACCTCCTCTGAAAGGACACCTCCAGCTGACCTCAAGCATCCTGATGCCCTCCTCTCCACAGCTGCCGGGCCACCCAGCATAGCAGCTGGGACCTCACCCTGGGACCTGGGGGCCACTTCTCCATGCATCAACGGGTTTTCAGGACTGCTGCAGCTCAAGTAGGCCACCGCCCCACAGAGTAGGGCCAGCGCCACTCTGCAGATAATTCTCCAAGGCAAACCCACGCTTCACGAATTCTGCTGTGCCCAGTGCCAAGATGGTCCAGCCCAGGACTGTCCAGCCAGGGGTGTGAACTCGCACTCTGGAGTTTGGGGGGAGGCGCCTGGGGCCCAGGACAGACGTGGAACTCACCGCGACGCCCGTGGGAGCCTCAGGTGTCGCCTCTATAAAATGAGTTAAGTGATAGGACAGACCCTGCAGGCTTCCCCCAGAGGAGGAAGGGGACAGGGGGCAGGGTGGAAAGGGGGGGACGTCAAGTGCGGGGCAAGTGGCTCTGCGTGCTCAGATTAGGTCCCCGCCATCCCTGGGCGGGGGAGAGCCTCATTACCCACCCAGGGGACTCAGGGATTCCCAGCCCCGCGGCTGCGGTGGCTGAGCAGGGGAGTAGCCCGGCAAAGGGCTGAAGAAGACGGGATCTGAGGCGAGGAGCTGCGGAGAGGGGAGGCCCGGCGGGGACCCCGGAGGGACCCGGGGCGGGGCTGGATCCCTGGGGGCTGGCGGCCGGTGAGCCTCGGAGCAGAGCAGGAGCCGAGGATGCCGCGCGGCGCGGGGCTTGGCGGGCGCTCGCGCGGTGCCGCCGCCGCTCTTCAGGCGGAGCGGGGACAGCCGCGCTACAGCGCCGGAGCCCAGGGCCGGCGCCCGCGGTCTCTTGCGCCACGTCGGCTCCGCCGCGCGCCCGCAGCCCCGGACTGCACCCCCGGGCATGAGCGCCCCCTCAACGCTGCCGCCTGGGGGCGAGGAAGGGCTCGAGGCGTCCTGGCCTCCCGCGGCCAACTCCAGCCGCGCCCCAGCGGAGGAGAAGGAGGCGGCGGGCGCGCGGGGGCGGCGGGCATAGTCGCCATCCAGTGCATCTACGCGCTCGTGTGCCTGATGGGCTTGGTGGGAAACGCCCTGGTCATCTTCGTGACCCTCCGCTCCGCCAAGATGAGGACAGCTGCCAACATCTACTTGCTCAACCTAGCCGTCGCGGACGAGCTCTTCAAGCTGAGCCTGCCCTTCGTGGCCTCATCAGTCGCCCTGCGCCACGGGCCCTTCCGGGCAGTGCTGTGCCGCACGATGCTCAGCATGGACGGCCTCAACATGTTCACCAGCGTCTTCTGCCTGACAGTGCTCAGCGTGGACCGCTAGGTCGCTGTGGTGCACCCTCTGCGCGCCGCCACCTACCGCCGGCCCAGCGTGGCCTAGCTCATTAATTTGGGCGCGTGGCTGGCGTCCTTGCTGGGTCACCCTGCCCATTGCCATCTTCGCCCACACCAGGCCGGCTCGGGGCGGCCAGGCCGTGGCCTGTAACCTGCACTGGCCGCACCCGGCCTGGTCAACGGTCTTCGTGGTCTGTACTTTCCTGCTGGGCTTCCTGCTGCCTGCTCTGGCCATTGGGCTATGCTACTTGCTCATTGTGGGCAAGATGCGGGCAGTGGCACTACGTGCTGTCTGGCAGCAGCTGAGGCACTCAGAGAAGATCACGTGTCTGGTGCTGATGGTGGTGGCCGTCTTTGTGCTCTGCTGGATGCCTTTCTACGTGGTGCAGCTACTGAACCTGTTTGTGACCGGCCTTGATGCCACCATCAACCAGGTGTCCCTCATCCTCAGCTATGCCAACAGCTGTGCCAACCCCATCCTCTACAGCTTGCCCTCTGACAGCTTCCGCCGTTCCTTCCAGCGGGTTCTCTGCCTGTGCTGCTGCCTCCTGGATGCTGCTGGCAGTGCTGAGGAAGAGCCCCTGGACTGCTCTGCCACTGCTCTCAAGAGCAGAGGTGGGGAGGGATGCATATGTCCCCAGCTGCCCTGCCAGCAGGAGGCAGTGCAACCAGAACCCAGCCGCAAGCAGGTCCCCTCACCAGGACTGCCACCTACTGAAGAGCCCTTTCAACGCCCACCCAGCGTGGCCACCTCCAAGGGGTCTGCACCACCATGACAGCCCAGCAGGCTGTCTCTCCTGAATGCTCGCCCAAGAACCACCACCTCTTCACCCCACAGCCACCTCCTTCCAGCAGTCTGCGTGCCAGCCCCAAGAGCTTCAAAGTTCCTCCGCTTTTTCCTCTGCCCCGGACTCTGGCTTTCAGCAGGATGCCTCCGTTGGGGAGTTCTCCTCTGAGAACTCGTCTAGGATGTTAATTGTTCCTGAACCTCTGGTTGTTTTTCAAGGAGTGGGAAGCAGGATGATGCAGGGGACGAATGGCCGTCTACAGGCCGCTTGTTACTCTGCCTGGGAGAGGACTGTCTGGAGGATGGAGGTGGCCAAGCGCCCTTGCTCTGTGCAGACTCTGCATGTGTGGAAAGGGGAGGGAGGAAGGAAGATGCCTCCAAGCACACTCCCTTAGCTTCTGTCCTGGGCTGTTGTGCTCCGAGACTTGTGTGCAGCAGCCTGGGGCACTGACTTTGTCACCGCCCAGGCCAATGCCTGCCTGCAACTGTAAGTGTCATCCTGGTTGCCCTGGCTTCCTGTGAGTAGAAAAGGTTTGGAGACACTTGACGTGGGGTTTGTTACAAGGCGTAAAACTAGGTCAGTGATAAGACAAAAGAGACAGGCTAAATCTCATCCAGCTCCTCTGATGTGATTTCTGACCTGACCCTTTGGTGTGAGAGCGTGAGACCTCATCACGGCGGCAGTTTATTCTGTGGTGGTGAGTGGGAGGGGCGTTGGGGAGGGAGAAGAGGACCAGCAGATGCAGATGGAAATCAGCCAGATTTGGGGTAGAAGAGGCAGCTCTGTCACACACTGTTTAAAAAAAGTCAATATGCAAACGTCAGCCAGATGCAGATAATATTGCAGATAATACAAATGCAGATCATATGTAGGCTGCACACAGTGAAAAGCCATAAGTTTTTGCCTGATGTTAACCCAAAGATAAGTTATCTTTCCCCAAAGGAAATCATCTCTTTTTTTTTTTTTTTGAGGAAGCTTAGCCCTGAGCTAACATCTGCCACCAATTCTCCTCTTTTTGCTGAGGAAGATTGGCCTTGAGCTAATATTCGTGCCCATCTTCCTCTACCTTATATGTGGGATGCCTGCCACAGCGTGCCTTGACAAGTGATGCATGGTCTACACCCAGGACTGGAACTGGCGAATCCTGGGCCACCAAAGCAGGACATGTGAATTTATCTGCTGCACGACTGGACTGGCCCAGAAAATGTCATCTTAAGAGGAGCTTCAGTCCTGCTTTCCACTAAAGGCAGAGGTGGGTGCTGAGGAAGGGCTTGCAATGTGTGTTGGGATCTGGGGTGAAAACATGCTATCACACATGCATGAGGTGCTACGCAGGGTCTCCGCCTGGCTTAGCACAGCAAGAGGCACTTCTGGGTGTGGTTGGCCTGGTCTTGATGGTGCGAGGAAGATATGCGTGGAGCGGGGAGAAGGATAGCTGAGGAGATCCCCCTGCTCTTCAGAGTGGCTGGCTTCGCCAAGCTCACTGCTTCCTGGTGGGAGGGCTTCAAGAGAGAGCATCCTGGACCGGTCTGCCTAGCAGACCTTGCCTGACTCGGGCAGCCGGCGGGCATTCCAAGGTGGGCACGGGGGCTGCTGGGAGGATGAAGAAGACGGAAGTAGGGCCTGAGGCAATGCTCTGCTTCTACTGTGGACCAGGGCTCCCCACTGAGAGCAAGGCTCTTCCCTGGAGTGCTCGGGCCAAAGCCAGAGCTCTACCTGACGTGAGCAGGTGCCTGGCGTGTGGGAAACAGGCAGGAGAGCCGAGTTCTAGTCCTAGATACCAGCATTGTGTGGCTCAGGCGAGTGACTGCAGCCCGCCCGGGGTCCTCAGAGCTCTGCCTGTAAACTCAGAAGGTCCTTCCAGGACCAGCACTGGGTGGCTCTTACAGATCTGACCTTATGCTTTTTCCATATGGCTGTAGATTCCAGTTGCTCCTGTACTGAATGAAAGAGAAGTGGCCTTACCAAAACTCTTTGGGCATATGACCACTCCACACGGCCCACCAGCAGAATGTTGTGTAAGCCGTGATCGGCGTTGATCAGTGTGTCTCAGGGCTGGGGAGCGAGGTGGAGCTAGAGGTCTCTAGGGTCTGTACATGCGGTGGTCTACTTCTGACTCTGAGAGACAGTGTGTAGCCAAGTCTGTCCCACAAACTGGAGACACGGCTGTGCACTGGAAACTCCCACTAAGGCATGGAGACCCTGGAACCCACAGACACACATGCCCACGCAAGCACACACAGACATCAACTGGCCCTAACTTGTCCGTACCCACTAGAGTTACCTTGGGCGTCTGGAGTGAATCGGTGCTGGCGTCTGTGGGCCTTGTCTAACTGTAACTTCTTGGCTTTAAAATTGAACTATTTCTTTGTTCCCCAGTGCCTGGCCATGCCTGGCAGGGTGGGCACTGGCAAGCGTAGTTGAACTGAGCTGCGAGGACCACCCAGGCTTACAGCGGGGTCCTTCTCCTCAGCTCCCACAGGGACACACTAGGCCAACTCTCTGATGAGCAAGATAGGCACTGACCAGGAGTCTTGGCAACACTCATGCCCAGCTGAGTATTTAAAAATGCAACCTTTTTAACTTAGTTGGTGATGGTTGAAGGAGACGCAGCCTGAGGTGGTAGAAAGAAAAGTCCCTGGGAGGCAGGGGACCTCAGCTGCAACCGGGCCCCATGAGCTTAGACTTAACCTCTCTGAGCCTCAGTTTCCCACTTAAAATATGCAACAAAGAGAGCTTGCTAGTTGTGAGTTCTTCCCAGCTGTAAACTCTGCTTTCTCAAAAACACTGGAGAGAGATGCTCACCGAGGCAGTGGGAGGGTGAAAGTCAGCATTCTTCTATGTTTAGTATTCTCTCTATCACTTGTTAAAAATGAGCATTAACACTGCCCTTGACCCCGGAGTAATAAATCTGCAGTGGAGGGGTGGGGGTGAGAGGGTGGGCCCTGTTGATCATTCTCTTCCTCAGCTGCAGAGCCTTCTCAATTCTTGGGGCTTAACAAGTCGGCAGCAGCGAAGCATCCCAAGCGCCTGTCTGGGGATGCATTCGGAGCCCGTCAGCAGTGCTGCTGGCTATGGTTGGCGTCAACCCTGAGGCCTCTGTAACTGCTGGTTGCAAAAACCCTCCCTCATGGTTCATGGCTCATGGTTCGTGTGCACCAAGACTGCAGTGAATTGAGGTCAGTGATGGGGACGGGTCCTGAGGGCACTTACACATGTCACCTGCCTGTGGGTCAGCCAGGTGTTCACAATGGTCCTGCTCTGCCTACCGAGACTGGTAGTAGCAGCTTTGGGCTGCAACAGGGATGAAAACATCCTTTTTCTCACAGGTAGAATCAGCCTGCAGGTACTCCTGAATCTGTGACCTTGCTTTGCCTTTTAAAATTGCCTTTAATTTACTGCTCAGCGATGAGCCAGGTGTTTAATTCTTCCAGATGGTATTTGGGCGTAACAAGGGGTCACTCGTCAGAGTTTGTGCCCCGTTTGTCAGCACTATGTCTTTGAGCAAAGGTGATATTTTCATATTCATATTTATATTCTGGACTCACTTTCATTGAAAACATCATGCCTCGACCTCCTTAGGTGCTAAAGGCTGACTGATATCAAGGAAAAACCAACCAGATGTGGCAGGTTTTGGCCATGCTGCCTCCGACATCAGACACGGGAGCCTGAGCAGTGACTGGGGCAAATGCCTGCAAATTTGGGGATCGAAGCTCTTCTGCGACCCTGTCACACAGTCTTACATCTACCCTGAGTAGATGACAGAATAGCCTCAGATTTCTTAAGCACAATGTCACCGTCCTAAGGCCCGGGCTCTGTGACTGCTCCACAGTGCTGCGTACCGTCAGCCGGCCCCGCCCCGAAGCTCGGCTCTGTGGAGGTGTGCGCAGATGGGCGTGCCTGCGGACAGCACACTAAAGGCTGCTGCTGTCGGCTCACACAGCGGCTTCAAGGTCCGGGGAAGCTTCTGCAGACAGCTCTCTGCCCTCCTGCCTTGGAGGTAAGTGGCAAAAGATGGGCATTAATCAGATAACTACAGAAATGAGAGTTCACTTCTAAGCTGAGATAAGAGCTACCCAGGAAGGAATCCAGTTTCCATGAGATGATGTACTGAAAGAAGCTGACGTTGTTTTAGGGCAGCTTTCCCCAGGAAGGTTGCTGGAGATGACCTCCTCCAAAGACTGCTGGGAATTCACCAGAAGAAGAGGGGGTGTGGCGGAAGGTGTGAAGGGCTCTTAGAGGGAAGGGCATGTGCAAAGGGGCTGTAGAAGGAGTTACTGAAGGTGCCCAAGGTGACTAGAATAAAGGACGGGTGATGCCCAGTCAGCTGGAGGTGTTGGCAGCCCCTGACCAGCAGTGCCTCATAAGCCCCCTTAATGACTGAGGACCCTGACATGTGATAGTGGTGACAGGCTCTAATGATAGGCTTGAGTCTACCTGGCAAAGAAACCCATCAACTCTTGAGTCCTTGTCACATGGGGGCACATGTGCCCTCCACTTTTCATGGAGAGGTTGGCAGAAGGATTGTGTTCTTCTCATTTCAACTTTCATCAACTTTGCGTCGACAGGGAGGGAGGGTCCCCATCACATGAATGGATTGGCTTAGTGTCTAACAGGAAGGGGCATGTCTGACAATAAGGGAGCCAGTATAACCAAAATCCAAGATCATTAACTGTGTTGCGTAGAATGGGAACCCTGATCGCGCTAACATAGATCCTGTGGAGAGAGAGTAGGGTTCCCCTTCAGGCCAGGGCTCAGAACTCCCTTGAAGCCTCGTGGAGCGGAGTATCCCTTGAAAGCCAGCCCCATCAGGACCATAGTGTCCATTTGCCGTGGGCCTGCAGACGGCTCGCTGCTGGGTTTGTGCTGCTCCACCCATCTTAGCTCCAAGTTTATCATGGCCAGGTCCACACTGGAAATTCAGACAAATTAAACAGAGAAGTAGGGACTCGCCCCATGCCCTGCCCGGACTTTCCTTTCTCCCCATGTTACTGTTGGATTCCTGAAGTCCTATCTCTCGGGAGAAGGGAGAGAATGTTTGAGGAAAGACAGGAGTCAAATTCTGGCAAAGAATCACCAAAAATGGCACTTTTGGTTTTGATCACCATTTCAAGAGGAATTTAACAATGTGTGCCCTGATTATGAGGGTGATGGTGTGCAAGGCTGCAGGTCTCCAAAGAGTTCATGGGAGGCAGGCCCCTGTTCTCAAGGAGATTGGATCAGATTCAGGCAGGAGGAAGAGGGCACGTTTCAGGAGACTGTGGAAAAGCCCCTTTCTCCCTCACTGGGTGGCTCAGCAAAGGTTTGCTTGACTCCAGGAGCCCGCGAATACGCAGTTGGGGCAGCCTCAGTGTGAAGACAGAGGGAGGGTCCAGGAGGGTAGCAGAGAGGCTGCCATGCAGGGAAGCTACAGAAAGGAGAGGTTCCATCTCAGGGTCATATTGGTTATGAAATGTCCTATTTAAAAGAAGATTAATTTCAAGCTGGTGGACAGGGAAATGTCTGGCCTGTGACCAGGGGCCTTATCGTCCTGGACCCCAGTTTGGAGTCTCGGTGTGTCTCCCTGGATCCCTGCGCCCCTTCTGCCGTGGGCTCCTGGGCGGTGGGTCTGACTTGCCGGAGGCACCCTGGCTTCTTTTGTCTTTCGCAATCACGCTTTCAAAACACGCTGAAAAGGATTTTGATTCTGTTAGAAACTGATGTTAAAATAATATTTCGTTTCTCTTGTGAGAGGAAATCAGTTGTTTGCCTACATCTGAACCTGCTGACCAAAAAAAGGAGGAAGGTCTCTCTCCAAACAGAGAGAGAGAGAGCGCTGAACCAGGCGCACGTTCAGAAAAAGAAGGAGTGAGAGCTGGGCGTCGCCTGTGTTATTTTATGAAGAAATGCCTGAAGAGGTCAGGGGATGTGTTTTCAAATGAGCTAGGCTATCCCCCGCTGAGTAATGACCGCGATGCTAACATGTTATATTCTTTGCAACCTCAGTTTTCCTTGAAGAGATGATATAATAATTAACCCTCAATTAACACAAGATCAACAGGAGCCCTCAAAAGTTAGAACTTGGGGATCCTCTGTCACCTGGCCCTGTCCACAACCAGGATGCCATGCCCAGGAGCCCCAGGAAGGAGTGCGGCAGTGATTTGCCTCATGCGATGCAAGCAGGCGGCGCCATCTCCTTCACACTGGCCTTCCTTCCTCCCTGAGCCCCCTCCGTTCCCCTCCTCCATGAAACTGCGTGATGTGGGGTTTGGCGTCTTGCTGTTCTGCTTCTTTACACACTGCTGGTGGGCTGCCAGAGTCTGAGGCAGCACAAGTCCAGAACGCAGGGCGAATGAGCAGGGCTTTGGAGACATACGAGCGGGGTTTCACGGAAACCTGTTGCTGAAAGTAGGGAGAGTCAGGCGGCCCGGTCATCGCTTAAAAGAGCTCGTCTTTGTGCTTCAGTGTGACAACAGGATCCTAGGTGTGGGGAGATTTTGAAGGGCTAGGAGCTGTCAGAGAGGACGCAGGCCTCATCCACCGTGTGTAGACAACTCCAAAGGCAGTAGAGGGGAGGGACACCAGGGAACTTTCTGGTGTGACGAAATGTTCTATATATTGATGATGGCAATGGTTCCACCAATGTATGTGTTCTTCAGGACCCACAGAACTAACTATTCACCGAAAAGAGTGAATTTCACTGTATGTCAATTATATCGTAATTTTTAAAAGAAATGAAATAAAGTGCACTAGCCACCGTCTGGCCCTAGCCCACTCTTCTCGGGGCCTGGTCCTAATGTCCATCGCTTTCTGGGCCTGTAGACCTTACTTCTTCTAATCCCTAATCAACGGACAGTCTCCACTCGGAGCTTGGGCTCTTCTCTCCCTCGCAGAGAAAAAGGAAGTTGAGTGCGCACGCGTCTCACTGAAGGAGAGTTCCAGAAGGCCCTGCCCTCTAGCTGACGGGCCGCCTTCCCTGAGAAGGTGAGGATGGCAGCCGTCCCTGCTTCTGAGTGGACGGTCTCTGACGTGCAGCCAGGGAGGAAATTCAGTCACAGCGGGGTCACAGAAGTGTCTGAGACTCTCCCATGGGGGTTTAGGTGCCAGACCCACCTCCCGCTTTCGTGCCCCAGTGTGGCGGGCGTTTGGAAAGGTTGGGAATCTGCTGAAAGTTGCGCTGCGGGTGTCCGCAGACCAGTGGGCCTGAGCATCATTTTGAACTGAGGATTCTTTTCTGCAGGCTCCTCTTTCTGTTGTTAAACTTGAGGGCCCCACGTGGCAGCCGAAGGTGAGCCTGCGGGCCGTGCAGCCTCTCCCCGCCCTCCCCCCCCCACCTCCGGCCCTGGGTTCTGCCTAGATTGAATGAAGCCAGTCTTCTGTTTCTCCTCTGGGCTCTGAGAAAGCAAGCAGGGACTTTGTGGTGTGCTCTGTCCTTTTCTGTGGCCTCCCTGGGAGCAAAATGGAGGGGACCTCGTCACCTGTCTACTTTGATGGGCCTTATGATGAGGGGAATAGACGTGGGGGCAGGATTTGACAGCTCCCCGGGGGCTGCTTCTCCCCCTGCAAACATCCCCCGCCTTAAGCTCTGCTTGACGCCCCAAATCCCACCAGGGTTGACAGCATCCTTCCAAGTGACTGCACCTGGCCTTGAAAGAACACTTTCCACTTTCCCCACCACCTGGAACTTGCCCTCAAGACACTCGAGATATAACCTCAATGTAACCTTGTTCTTTATCCAACTTTACATCCACTAATTTATTGGTGCACAAGGTAACTTTTATTGAGCACCTGCTGTGTGCCAGAACCTGCGCTAGCTCACTTCATCTCATCCTCATGGAAACCCTGGGAGGTGGCACTGCTGGCACCCCGTTTTACAGCCTTAGAGAGGTGGTGTGGTACCCACGGTCACGTGACCACCAGGGGTCAGGCTGGGATGCAAATCCAGGTGTATTTGACCCCACACTCCACGTTAGCCCTGCTGGACGCTGACAAGGGAAACTGCAGGTTTCTGTCCGTGGGCACGTGTAAATAAGTCCAGAAGTGGCTGTTACCTTCCCAGACAATTTCAGGACATAGATTGAATGCTCTTACTAAAACTCCTTGAGTGGTCCACTGGCACCTAGGTTAGAATTCCACATCTTTGAGCTGGCATACAGTCCCCTCCGCTGTTAGCTCTCCGTTTCTACCTCTTCAGCCTCGTCCTTTGCACATGCTGCTGCTTCTGCCAGGATGGCTCTCCCTACACTATGCATTTGACTAGGCCCCGCCCCCCTTCAGGTCTACTGTTAAGTGTCAGCTCATCAAAGACGCCTTCTCCAGTCCTCTACTCTCAATCTCATCCGTCCTCTGCTGTGCTCCTCCTCCTCAGTTCGTATCGCTGTTCCTAAGTTAAATACAGTCTGGAGGCGATCATTTGTCTTATGTCTGTCACCTCACCAGAGTGTCAGCGTCTCAAGACAGGGGCTTGTCACCATACCTGTCACCGTGCCAGGCACACAGTACCTGCTCAGTAAATATTTGCTGAACTAATCCAAGAAAAGGGGTTAGGTCTTGGGGGGAGAAGAGCCGTTTGACTCATAAATCAAATTCTGACTTACCTAGAAGTACCACCCTGGCCTTTCCCCTCAGGCCCTGAGCGCTGCAGAGCATCCTCGGCAAACATGTTCCACTTGCTGAAATCTGGGCTTCTCCCTCAGGTCCGGCTATCCAATAATGTGAACAGAAAGCACGGACCATCCAGGCTGACTGAAGGCCCCTGTTCCATAAAGTCTACCCTCATTTTAAACGCTGGAGGATAGGTTTTACAGCTGACTGATTTGTGTATATGGTCTTGGTGTCTTTCTCAAAGAAAGGCTGTGATTCCTCAGTTGTTTTGCGAATTTCAAGTACAGATGAGGCCTGTAAACAGGGATGCTGATCTCCCATGGGACAGGAAGTGAGGGGGCTAGGGAGGGTCTGGGCCCCCACCCCGCTAGTGTTCTGGGGTCCAAGATGCCCCAGTAAGGGTTCTTGCCTCGGGATCTTGAAAGTGTGTTTTGGTCTTCTTGTGTCCTTAAGAAAATGCCCCTCCTCTGGAGGAAAAAATCCTAAAGCAATGAGCCCGCAAAGTCAATTTGACGGCTACTGGGGAGCAGACCCTTGTGAAAAATGTAAGACCGGGTAGTGAGGACAAATTTGTAAGGTAGCACTTTCTCCTCTGGACCTCCCAGGACAGCTTATCTGTACCTGCTTTGCCTCCACTCATCGAGCTCTTCTTTCATATGTACCCATGATGGAATTTGGTTTTCTGCCAGTCTCCCAAGTTCCTCAAAGTCACATTGTTCAACTCGTTATCTCAGGAGGGCACCGCACACAGTAGCCACCCACCCCTCACCCCTACACACAGCAAAGCTGCAAGCTCATCGGCAGAGGATGCTGAAATCTGCAACTGCACCTTCACGACAGTAACTGCTCGGCTTAAAACTGAGAAATTCAGCATCGTCCAGATGTATACAAATATTGGAATATTTGACTGAACTTGATTTTCTTTCAACTTCTGCTTTATGAAGACTTTCAGAGCACTGCATACAAAATTCAGCCAGTTCGACCAACTCAGGAAAAGGCGCCCAAGAAATTTATGTATTAAAAAGACAGAGTTTCTCATCTCCAACAGAAATGAGAATGATTTAACACTGCGTAAAACCTTGGCATGTGGGAACGATTGTTTGAATTCAAGCCACAGACTGAGACCCCTCATGACTGTTGTGTTTGGATAGCTCAGCGAGCAGATAATGCCAAACCATATCCAGAAGGACACACAGCGGGGATGCTGGAGATGCCCGAGAAAGACTGTTTCTTTAACTCATCCCAACATATAATCCTATAATGTGTTTTAAAATGCATAGACACAAATCCTGTGCATGAAGTTGTTATGGTTACAGAGGAAAAAATAAATATTTGTGCACACAGGCATAACATGAAGTCCTTCTACAGTGAAAACAATGTCCTCTGGAAAGATCTCTGAAAGTCAGATGGCGCCGTGAGCAGATGGAGCTGGATGGGGTGTGGAGCAGCCTTTAAATGCACCTCATGTCATCTACATTGTTGGTGAGCCTCCTTTAATGATACAAAGTGTGGGCCTCTGGGAGGGGATGTGAACAGACACACGACCCAAGAACACTCTCTTATTTGTTTATTTTCTACATGTGATGTCATAAGCAAGGGTTTTGCCTGTGTTCTAGTTTATCTCCAATAAATAAATAACTATGTACAAATGTGCTGAGTTTACAAACTAGTAGAAGAAAACCTTTGCATCACAAAAGATACATTATATCATACATTTTTTTCCACACACTGAAGCGTGATTTCGTTCCTAGCTTAGTTGAACCGAAGAACTTCTCTCCCCTGTGGAGCAATGTCTAAAGGTGTGTACCTAGTCTTTCTACCAGAAAGCAAAGCCATAATATGAAAATTCCTCAGTTTCTTGAGAATAAAGGGCCTGATTTGGCCTGCTACTTATTACTGATCCATATTTAAAATATTCCAGAATGTTGGAAGCAATCTGGAACAGTTCTCCTCAAACTATACTGGGCAGACAACCCCCTGCAGCTCTTGTTAAAATACAGATTCTCCTGCGGTAGGTGGGTGGGGCTGGAGTTTCTGCATTCCCAGCCAGCCTCCGCTTCTTGTCTAGGGACCACGTTCCTAGTGGACAGGGTTGGAAGGCCTCTCTGAAGTGGGAGGAATTCTCAAGGGCCTGATCAAGGTGGGGCCGTCACTGAGCATTCTTCAGGTTCCATCCTTAGGCTCCCCAATCCCAAAGAACCAGTAGAGCTGGCCTACAAATTACAAGAACAATGAGAGGAGCCAAAATGGTAATTGGCCTGGATCACACAGCCCAAAACTGTCTTCAGCTGTCTCCTGGGAGGGGCTTCTTTCTTCCCTCAATCGAGAGCAATCATGTGAACGTTTTCAACATTGTCAAAAATAACTCATCATCATCATCATCATCATGGAAAAAGAAACTGTATAAGAAGCTTAACAACAGTTATTACTTTTCAGTCCAAAGCAAAACAACAACAACAATAAAACCCAGGCTCACTGTTTAGAAAATAAAAAACTCCTTGGGGTTGAATTCCTATAACAGCCCAGCAACGTTAGTTTAACAAATGCCTCTCCCATCTTAACCTTGGTAAAATGATATTGCTCTGGAAGCCTGAAATTTCAAGACAAATTAGCAACTCTGGTGCAAGAGCACACCCCAGCCAGTCTTGTGTGTAGAGTTCTTGTTTCTGGCTCACACAGGGGCTCTGCCTAGGCAGGCAGGTCAGAGCAGAGGGGTCTGACGCAGGGCAGGTGACTCGGGGGGGTTGGCTGAGTTCCTGAGAGGGGAAAACTCGGAGGAATGAGGGGACACACAGGGCTCGGCTTAATAAATGCAAGAGGGCTGGGGGGAAAACTTCACCAAGATGGTTCCACTGCCACATGACAAGTAGGAGTATATAAATACAGAGAGAAGGAAGATCAAAGGGAAGGGAGGGGGGAGAGATACCTACAGGCAGGGGAAAAAGCAAAAGAAAAAGATCCTAAATACTTAAAAAATAAATATGTTGGTCATTACCAATGACTTCATTACACTCACTAGTCCGGGGGCTCACAGTCTGCCCCAAAGGCTGCCTACCGTAAGGCTCGCCCTCCATGGTGGGGGCACGGGACACTCTGCAGTCTGTGTCTTCATCATCAAACCGCCAGCTTGCCCAGTTGTGCGACGATGGCATGGAAATGGCTGGGGCGTGGAGTCCTTCCAATGCCCACTCCCCAGCCTCGTGTGGAATCAGAGAAGAAGGTGAGGAGGATCTTCTCCGGTTCTGATGCCAGCTAAGGTGCTTTGGGGGGGCCAGGGAGTAAGGCTGGGGGAGGGGAGAGGACACGGGAGGGAGGCAAAGGCCAAACCCACACCTGGGTCAGGGAGGGGGGCCCCTCAGAGTTTCTGAGGCATCCTCTCCGTCCCCACGTGCTGCAGCACCACCTCCTTGGTTGGGGCCCCATACTTGTACTCTAGCTCTGCCGGCATGGCACCTTGCTTCTTGCGCAGGTGGCAGAGGAGCGCCAAAAGCGCCACCACCAGAGACAGACTTGCGATGGAGATGCCAATGAGCACGCCCGAATGCAGGGGCGCTACCGGCGAGGGGCTCGCCGTGGTGCCGGGAGTCCGGCTGACCGGGGGCTCCCCAGATCCGCTGTCTTCGTCGTCTCCTTTGCTCTCCTTGGGGTCACAGTCAGTGGCAACCTGGCCGGCGAGGGCCGAGTCGGGCCCACAGATGCACTCGTAGCTGCCAAAGAGGTTGCGGCACTC